TGTCAGGCTCAGGTGGTAGTACCGCTGCAGTGTTAAGTACTATTCACTTTACAGTCCCTCTCATATTGTGGTATCAAGTACTAACAGCATAGTGGGAGAGAGACACATGAGACGATTGCCATGTAATATGCCAAGTGTGATGATGAAGGTATGCAGAGTTCCATGGGAACACAGGGGGCGGGGCATTTGTGGAATGCCTTCAGATAATCAGTCCTCTTAATTAAGTTCACGCTGAACTGTTCTGACCTCTCTCCTTCTGTCTGTGGAGGATATGTCATCCATCCTCTTGAGAAAGGCTAAATGTCTCCATGTTTTTGGACCCTCTCTCCTCTGACTTTATCATATTCTTTCCTTCATTTATGCATGTGTGCAGATACACATACTCTATATTTAATCTCTTCTGGTCCTTTCAGAAAGACATAAAAAATATGAGGGTGGGAGTTTGAAAGGGAGGAGAAAAAGGGAGGACTTGTGGCCTTCTAGCTTGAGCAGCTGTTTGATAGTGTTATTTTTGAAATGTTTAAGGTGCAGTGGGGTGGTTGGATGGATTTTAAGGGGAAAATTCGATAACTGAGTAGAAATATCAAATAGGGATTTTTATTTAGCAGTCTAGAAATTTGAAGAGAAGGATGTGCAAGAGATATGTATTGAGAGTTCACAAATGTAAATAATATTTGGAATCATGAGATTCAGTCAGATCACTCAGGGAGAGACAACATAGGATAAAGAGGAATTGGCCCTGAGGAACCCCAATATTAATAGTCAAGAGAAGAAGAAAATGCTGGAAAAAAAAACTGAGGAAGCAGTCTAAGAAGTGAGAAGAAATGTTAAGACTGTGGTTTCACTGTCACTTTCTCAAGAAGGAGGAAGTGGTCATCTGAATTGCATGTAGCAGAAAAGATAAATTGGGTAAGGATAGAAGAGTGTCCATTGGTCTTGGCACATGGCGATCATTGCTAGGTGTAGATGACCAATTGGAATATCAGTTAGACAAAGGATCAGAGTAAATAATTCCCAGAAAATAAAATACATATGGAAAATAAGAAAATGTTCAGCATTCTTGCTAATTGAAGAAATGGAAGCTATAATAATCTTGGTGTTAATTTTTACTTATAAAACTAGCAGAGCCTTTAAAAAATGAGCACATCCAGTATTAACCTCAGGGATATCAAACAGGTGCACTCAAAAATTATTGGTGGAAATATTAATTGGCAGCTTAATATTAATTGACATTACTTAAGCAACAGAATGTTTAGAAATAAACACATTTTTGCACTTAAGCCATCTGGAGTTTGAATTCTAAGATTTGGTTAAAATATGTACCCTCTAATCTTGTTTAGAGAACTTTCTCTAATAGTTTAAAACTCAACTTCATTTCACATCTGTCTTAAATGTTTTGGATTAACTCTTAACAGTCAATTTCCCATGTGTTACATTTTCCCCTTTGTTCAGGAAGATAGTAAAAATATGTCGGGGTTTTTTTTTTTTTTTAATTGTTTCTGTTTTGGGGAAGTAGATTTTTTGAGTTAAAATAATTTTCATACTTGGTTTTACAAGACTCAGTGCATATTTACTTTAAGGTAAATCTATTTTAGCTTATCAATTTCTGCATGTGGTTATACAAAATATTTCTTTTTATGCTTTAGATGGCAAGATTATTTTATCATAAACCCCAGTTTGCCATTTTGGATGAATGCACAAGTGCAGTTAGTGTGGATGTGGAAGGCTACATTTATAGTCATTGTCGAAAGGTAAGCATTTCAGGTTCTCAGTTTGAGGGTCCCTGTCATTCTTCTTGGTTTACTCTGTGTCCAACCAAATATCTATCCAAAGAGAAGATTTCAAGTTATTAAGTAACAAAATTACTATCAAAGGATGTTCTATCAGCTTTAATAAAGATTTCAAATTTACTTCCCTTTTACCTCATTCCCTATACTCAGAGTTAATAAACTGATATTTTCTTTTTTTTTTTTTTTTTTAAGGTTTTATTTATTTGACAGAAAGACAGCCAGAGAGGGAACACAAGCAGGGGGAGTGGGAGAGGGAGAGGGAGAAGCAGGCTTCCCGCGGAGCAGGGAGCCTGATGTGGGGCTCCATCCCAGAACTCTGGGATCATGACCTGAGCTGAAGGCAGCCGCTTAACGACTGAGCCACCCAGGCGCCCTAAACTGATATTTTCTTAATGTGTTCAGATTAAGAATGAAACCTAAATATCATTTGTTTTTTTTAATTAGGAAAACTTGATAGTAGTCATTTGGTAGTTTCAGGGTTTTTTTTTTTTCCTCTGGCCTGGGCAACATTTTACCCATTTCCTTTGGTAGCCTTTTCTGAAGCTATGCTTATTGATACCATTCTTTAACTAGTTAGTAGTTCTGTGGTGATTGTCACACCATCTATACTCTTGTTGGATTTTGAGAATAAGAGCAGTATATCCTAACTGTTTTACAGTGTTATGTAAGTAGAGGAAGTGCAAGAGTCTTTCAACAAGTTGTAAGTGTTATTTGGGGGTTTACAGTAAATATAAAAAGGTCATGTTGCATATTTACAGTATGAATTCATACTATTCAAAGTGTGGTCATTGATCAGCATCTTCTGGGAGCTTGTTAGAATGTAGACTCTCTGGCCCTACCAAATTAGAGTCCACATTTTAACCAAATTCCCAGAAGATTCAAATGCACATTAAAGTTTGAGAAGCATAGGTATAATGACGGAAGAATAAATTTGCTACATTAATCTTTGTAGGAAGATTTTTCTGTACTGATTTTATTTCTTTAATGGTTTGTTTTCTATTTTTGAATCAGTTTTGGTCATTTATAATCTTTTTATGTATCTGTTCATATGAACTTTCAGATTTATAGGTATTGGAGGTGTGGTCTCTATTTGATAAGTGATTTAGAGACTCTTTGCTGGTAATTTTGACCGTGTGCTGTCCCCTTATATTTAGTTATAGGCTATATGTCCCCACATAAGATGCAATTTTCCTATAAAGTATAGATTCCATTTAAAAGAAGAAAATTCTTATGGGGTCCCCAGTTGATAGTTAAAATTATATTACTGTAATAGGAGTTGAATATGTATAAGCATGAAATGAGATATGAACTCCTTGAACTTAGAGCTCAATTACAGCCATAAAACAAATATAAATTTACAAATTAAGTATAGACAAAACAGTTTCAAGTTGGTAACATTAAAGAGACCTCTGATACTGTTTTGCTGAAACTAAGCCACCAGTTTGGGATTTAATTATGGAAAGATATAGTCTGAGGTCCAGATCTTATATTTTGAATTTTGCTTATGTATCTTACTTACGTAATTCTATCAGAAAGAATGCTTTCATTAAGTTGAGATCTGATCCAATTACTGTAGAATCATAAAAAATAATATCTGAAGTGAGCTTTCAAAAATAAAATAAGTGTTGTACCATTGAAATGTTTTACTCTGATAACTTATTTTGTCATGCAGTTTGTAACCAATTTGAGAATCTTTCCACATGGCATCCAGAGTTATGGCACATTAAAAGTTTTAAGTGCTATCACTTTATTTATTTGTTTGTTTGAGAGAGAGAGCGGGGGACGGAGGAGCAGAGGGAGAGAAAGAATCTTAAGCAGGCTCCACACCAGCACAGAGCCTGAAGCGGGGCTCCAACTCATAACCCTGAGGTCATAACTTGAGCGGAAATCAAGGGTCGGACACTTTACTGATTGAGCTACCCAGGCACCCCAAGTGCTATCACTTTAAATAATCACTTGGTACCAGCAGAAGTACAAACACAGACTTGGGCACTTAAATCTCATGGTAGAAATGATCCAGATTATACTTAGGCTAATTTTTAAAAAATTACCAAAATGAAAATAAAATTAGAACTCATGATGGAGTTATCTGGATACTCTGGCATTTATCTCTGTCAGCCTTGAGAGATCCATTTTAAGAAACCTTGATGTAGAGCAGGGTTTCTCCATCTCATCTCTGTTGACATTTTGGGTTGGATAATCCTTAGTTGTGAGGAGCTGTCCTTTGCTTTTCTGGGATTTTTTTTTTTTTTTTTTTTTTTTATTACGTGATGTTAGTCAACATACATTACATCATTAGTTTTTGATGTAGCGTTCCATGATTCATTGTTTGCGTATAACACCCAGTGCTCCATGCAATACATGCCCTCCTTAACACCCATCGCCGGGCTAACCCATCCCCCCAGCCCCCTCCCCTCTAGAACCCTCAGTTTGTTTCTCAGAGTCCATAGTCTCTCATGGTTCGTCTCCCCCTCCGATTTCCCTGCCTTCATTTTTTCCCTTCCTATTTTCTTTTTTTTGAACATATAATGTATTATTGTTTCAGAGGTTCAGGTCTGTGATTCATCAGTCTTACACAATTCACAGCGCTTACCATAGCACATACCCTTCCCAATGCCTATCACCCAGCCACCCCATCCCTCCCACCCCCTACTGCTCCAGCAATGTCCACAATAGCCAAACTATGGGAAGATGTGGCTTTATAGGATATTTGACAGCATCTCTGACCTCTATTCATTAGATGCTAGTAGCACTCTCACTTGTGACAATCAAAAATGTCTCCAGACATTGCCAAGTGTCTCCTAAGGGATAAAACTCCTCCCCTCCCCCCCAGGTGAGAACCACTGATCCAGAGCATCTGCAATTATATTGATTAGTGGGGTTTTAAAAAAATATTTATTAGAAATCTCTAAATTTTTATTTACAGTTTAAAAACCAGTAAGGTTTTGGGGCACCTGGGTGGCTGAGTTGGTTAGGCGTCTGCCTTCAGCTCAGGTCATGATCCTGGAGTCTCAGGATTGAGCCCCATGTTGGGCTCCCCGCTCAGTGGGGAGTCTGCTTCTCCCTCTGCCCCTCCTGCTCCTCATGCTATCTCTCGCTCAAATATAATAAATAAAATCTTAAAAAAAAAAACCAATAAGGTTTCAAAACCCAAAAGATTTTTCATTATTTTGTAGCATGTTTAATGGGGTAGCCAAACCTTGCCTAAACTAAGATATTTAAACTCTTAACTTGTCTCAATGTCAGTGTTCTTATATGTTGCCACAGAAACATTAATATATTTTCTGCCCCAGAATGCTGATGATAATACTGCTTTTCCAAAATCTGAATTCCCAGACACATTCCAAAACAGGGGTTCCAATAAAGGATTATGACTCTTTATTTGAAAAACAGATTGAGCGTAGACAGTATTATATTGATTTAATTTTCCTGATTTTGACCTCTTGCTATTTTTACTATTCTTGTGCTCTTTTCATATATTTTTCACAATAAAATAGAAACTGTGTCAGGATGTATATTTTCTGCCCCAAACAAAATAGTACATTTAATGCTAGTACCTGTTAGTTTTTTTTTTTTTCTTAAAGAATTTATTGATACTGGGGCACCTCGGTGGCTCAGTCGTTAAGCGTCTGCCTTCAGCTCAGGTCATGATCCCAGGGTCCTGGGATCGAGCCCCACATCGGGCTCCCTGCTCGGCGGGAAG